CTCTCTCTCTCTCTCTCTCTCTCTCTCTCAAACACCACACACAGTCAGTCTAATGGGATTGCAGGGTTGGTGTGCGTAAACCCTACCACTTTTCTCAAAGGCATTGCTAACTTTGACCAAGGTGGTGAGTCCTTCCTTATCCATCAGTCAAATGCATCCTCGGCAGATTGCCAAGGGGTTCAACCTCCTGACGAGCCCGTGAAAGTCCGATAAAACAGTGTCTATCAGTCACCCTTGTTTCGTGGAGTCGTATTCAGCAAACGCAACACATAACACACACACAAACACACACATATGCGCACACAAGTGGTATTCAGCAAACACAACACACACACACACACACACACACACACACACACACACACACACACACACACACACACACACCCACCCACCGGTTTCACCCATGTAATCTTCATGCTTAGTGAGCATGAATCTGGTCAGCATGGTTGCAGCACTAGCTACGTTCATACTCCAGGCCCATTCCAGGGATGGTCTTGCTGCAGACGCTCCCCGCAGACTCCCCAGAATAGAAAGACGTCAGAGTCAGAGCCACAAGGCCTTGTTCTTTTTTACCCCCTTTTCTCTTTCTTCTTTTTCGTTTACACCACCAGCACCTCTCCCAGGCAACAAAATTGACCACCCACGCATTCTTCGGGGGCTCGGCCTCCTCAAACTTTTTTGCCTCACGGTGTCAGCCAAAAAGTGAACAAAAGCGCACCCCAGCAATTCATTTTGGAATTGGCGGCCGGCAGAAATCAGGCATGGGAAGAAGAGGCTCGGAGGTACTTGGTGGTTTGAAGTCTCATGAAGAATGTTTGCTGTGTAAAAGAGATTTGGGGACGACCACTGAAAATCTGATGTAGGATTCTGGCACCTGTCGGAATATACCTGGGCGCTTGCTTTGTTGCAGTGCACGTTTCATGCACCTGGGCAACTGCACAATGCATGTACATTCTCACAAGGGGCACTCAACATTATCGAAAAGTTGGTTACTTCAGTTTTCCTCGTATCATTACCATCCCTTGTGTGTGCCTTCTATTCCATGCTAATCTTCTTCTTCTTCTTCTTCTTCTTCTTCTTCTTCTTCTTCTTCTTCTTCTTCTTCGGATCCCTGACTAGATTCGTCAGGGTGGTGGGTGGCTCCTGGGGATCTTTGATCCCACAGGTCTACCCTCACCAACAATGAATGATCAGGAGGGTACTCAGTCACCTGTTTTCTGATTACCGCACTGGGAGGGTATATGTATGGTAGGGGTCACATTGTACAATAGGGGGTTAGCTGTCTTTTCCGCTTTCTGTTCTCCGATTGACTGCCAAAATTAAAAAAAAGACAAGGGTTTTTCTTTAATAAGTAGAATTTGTTTTTGGATTTTGGCTTTTTTTGGGCACCGGGGACCAGGCACCCGGAACTGACAGATCACACGACTGGTGGGATCGGACGGTATCCGAAAATGGGAATATGGGCACGGTACCGATCGGGTCTGGACCTGTTTTTTCCGACGAGGGAATGCACGCCCTCTGATTTGAATTTGTTTTTTGAATTTTTTTTGAAGTTTAGGCGCCTATTCTGCGCGTGGTGCCTCACTGCGTGCATATATCTTCCCGTCACTAGTTAGCTTCTCCCTTTTGCTTCTAGCGGTGAATCGGCACTCTGCTGTTTGCGCTCAGCGCTACTTCCTTGCCCTCGGAAGATGGATGATCTCGGACGTCATGCGTTGGATGTGGTGATCTGCCGTTGCTCTAGGTGTGACGGGTTGAAAAAGATGGGGTGTGTGGGTAGTAGAAAGGAGGGAGGGAAGCGTGGTTTTTTTTTGGATAAGCTGCAGTCACGTGCTATAAGTACTTGGAGGATTCTCCTTCGTATCTTATGGGTGGTGGTATGTCCTCCTGATGAGACTTGTGTACGCGCAAGTCGAAACGCGTCGGGGAAATGCGTACGTTTTTTGGCGGTGTTTGGCGAGAGGAAACTGATTATATTGCATATCTGAATTTTCCTTGAGTCCTCCGTGTGAACAGGATTTTTCTAATCTGTTCTGTTGTAACCTGTGAATTCTTCTTCTTCTCTCTCTTTTCCCAAAAAAATGGACCATTTCTCGATTTATGCGTGTCATCCTTGCGCAGTGGCCATGCTAATCTTCTTTCTCTGTATCGTTCCAATTTTATCGGATGTCCCAAAAGGACAGCCATGCTAATCTTCTATGCCTGTGCCGTTCTGGATTCAGCTTTCACAGATGCCCCTGAACGACGGAGTAGAATGCGTGCATGCCATGCCAAGGATGCCACCACTCTTAAGGAGCGTCATCGCAGGATCAGAAACAATAGAGGGATGTCTGCGGAAGCAAAATAGTAAAATACCCTCCTAAGACATTAAGAATCTAGGGGGTTGGTAGTATTGTGGTACAAGCCTTTTCGTAGTCCCGGTATTCATCAATCTCGATTTGCGCACAGGCCTCGTAGAAAGTTGCCAGTGAGTCCATAGCTCCTGCTTTGAAATAGAACTGCAAGGAGAATGGAAATGGAAAAGAAGAAAAAAAGCCAAAAAGTGAGAGAGAGGATTCTGTTGCTAGGCCCTCCTCCAAGTAATTATGAGAACAACCAGGAATGCCATGTGTCAAAGCCACAGTGAGTCCTTTTTTTGCCTTTTTTTGCCTTTTTTTTTTTTTGTCTTCTCCTCATTGGGGGAAAGCTACAAATATTTTCTCTCACCTCACATAATTTCAGAAGCGGTTAACAGGGACCCCCACTTTTCAGCCCCAGGTGTTTTGTTATAAATGGCATGACAAGGTGTCCGGAATTTTGGGCCTCCGTTAATCTTCTCTTCTCTCATTTTAACTGGTGTTCTGCCATGTCATGGAACATATCTTTTTCGTCTTTCACTACCTACCTACCACTACTCCTAAGGCTATACAGGGGACCCCCGCAAGCATAGCTTTCTGCCTCTCTTCGATGAAGGGAGGTCACCTCTCTCGGTGGAGGGAGGTAACGGCATGTTTGCCCCTTTGCCCTAGCGTTTAGGGTGCAGGGTTGGGGCCCCCGGTGGGTCCCCGGCTAACACAAGGAGCGAGCATTTGCCAGTAACTGTGCCTCCCTTTTCATCATCTTCCCCACCCCCATCGGGTAACAATAGTGTCTAAAGCCAACACTCTCCCACCCACCACACACAACAACCCACTCACACGCACACTCACACTCACAGCCTTGTTGGCTAAAGACCTTACTAATACCTTCTGGGAGGATCCAGCTGACTATCCCAGTTGCTTGGCACAGCACGTGCCACAGGTGGCCATGGGGGTTGAACCCACGACCTCCTGAATGCCACTTGCATGCCTAACCAATTGAGCTGAGTCCATTTTCAAATAACCCGTCCATTTTCCACATATCAAGCAATCAATGAAGCTTGGAGGGCAGAGAGCAGCGCCTGGGCCGTGGATCTTCTATCCCGATGTTGCTCAGGCTGCCGGGCACCCAAAAGTTAACCCATCCTTTTATCCTATTCACTTACCGACACCGCCTTTCTAGCAAGCCGCAACGGGTGTACTCTTCCTACATGTCTTGTTGCTGTTGTTGTTGTTGTTGTTGTTTTTAACGATGGATAATTCAATTTCACTAGCAGCAGTGCTACTGTGTTCCTTTGGCCTCACAACTTACCTTACTCCTCCTAATATCCTGATTCCCTTTGCATCCAATCATCCATTGGCGGCAGCGCCACAATTTTAGTTCTACTGTTTTTTTTTACATAATTGCCAGCAATTTTGGTCTGGTAGCACTGCATCCAAAGAGCCCGGAATGCCGTGCCGCATTTTCTGGTTCTCAAGTTTGCCTGGGTGAGGTACTGATGGGTTAACCACCTGAGCTACCTTTTTTTATTTTTTTATTTTTATTTTTATTATTATTCTTATTATTCTTATTATTTTTTTTTAAACAGGCCCAGGCTGCTTGTGATGGTGATAGAAGCATCCATCACTAGCAGTCTTATTTTTTTTATCTTAACAAGAGCAACATCAAATTAGTAACAAGAGCAACATCATACTAATCAAACCATGTTCAATTCAGAAAAGATTATTCAAAATTTCGAAGATTACTTAGTACGAAGGCACCGTTTGGTAGTTATACATTTTGCGTTTCTCCAAATTCCAATTGTTTTTTGCTTGCCAATTTTCTTGGACCCCGATAAGTAAGTCAATGCCTTATCACCCACACTTGCAGGGGTCTTGAGCCCTGGACCACCATCTCTGACACCATTGCACTTTATCCTCTCCAGCAAGCGGCGGCAACTCTTCCTTTTTTTCCCTCACAAGAGCTCCTACCGTGTAGAATATGAACTCAGTATGACCCACCTTGTTCCATCAAATCTAACACGGGCCCATAGGGTCACTGTAGCTGTACAGCACCTGAAAAAGCTGCATCACATACAGCGATCATGACCCCATGATCTAGGCTACCAGAGTGGCTTGGGACCATTTGCCCGGCCAGGCCAAAAAAAAATAAAAAAAATTGGTAAAGAATTTCGATGTGACCCCGAGGCAAAAGTTGTTCAGTTTATTTTTCTGCATAACATAATTTGTTTTCAGAAGTTTTTGATTTTCTTTCTTTCTTTTTTTTTTTTTTTTTGCTGGGACCTTCGACGGTCCTTGCACGGCCGGGCAGCCCGGCTGGTAGCCTAGCCCATGATTCAGTTAAATAAGGCAGGCGGAGGACGCTGTCCCTTTTTTTTGACTGCCAAGGGGCATCTCAGCAAGATAGGCTTTTCACTATTATTGCGCTCTGGATCTGAAACCCATAGTCGTCGGATCGCAAAGTTGACAGAGCGATCCATTTTGCATCCATCTTGCGTAGCCATCCTTGGTCCCTAGAAAAAAATCCGGGGATGCTGGGGGTTCGACCACTTTGTGGTTCAAAAAAATTGTTTCCCATGCAGTGGCGGTTCAAACTGAGCTGCCAACACAACACCCGTGAGAGAGGCTAGATTGTTTGCAAGGCCCTGCAATATAGACACGATAGCACACCATAATTGCAATAGCCTCCAACTGCATGGCCACTTGGCAGTCTAAGGTTCCCCTCGTCTAGACTGTTCCAGTTCATTTATGTACCTGCGTGATTGCCTTCATTATCTCCGCATCGTTGTGCCAATCAAGACTCTGCAAATAGTTGGCTGCCAATACATATATATCCTTGTGCCTGAACACATGCACACATACGCACACACGCGCACACACACACACACACACACACACACACA